AAAAAAAACTGTAAACCAAGTACGGGCAAAATCTGCGTCTAAAGGATTTTGACGCTTCAATAGATAAAAGCATTACTATTTACATCTCACTCAAAGAACAATACGAAAAGCCAGTGCTTACCGTAGCTTTTGTCACGAACAGAAGAGCATCGCTTGCAATCATGCCCAAATCAGGATCCAAACGACAAATCTTCTTAACTCGAGATGTTGGAAGGTTACATTTGAGCATGTCTTCAAGATCAACGGCGTCAACTTCGATGGGTTCTTCATTGGACATTGTCGCTAAAAATGGAGGGATTATAAGGCAAAAGAAATAGTATAAATAGTTAAAGTTATTTATGAATAGTTGTAATAGTTATAAATAGTTTCCACTGATAAGATGTCCTTCTCAAAGTAAAAAAACACGATGACAACAGATATGCACACAATGACTAGCAAATTTGGAAGCAAACAAATAAAACTTTCAAAACTCGCTGAAATTCGTTTTATACTGTCGAACGAGTTTGAACAGAAAAATTGCGCGCCGAGATTCGCCGTGGTCCATTTTTTAACTGCATAGCGCATTATAAACATTTCCATTTGTTGTTGAGTTCTTGTTTGTCGAAGTCAGTACATCGTTGCAACTATTTACCTTCATGGTGTCGATGATGCCTTGCACGAGAAGATAAATAGGTAGGTTAGCACACGGAAATATTGTTTTATTCAATATCTGTGAGAAATCTGCAGTTCCAATCAATAATGATCACGTTTACAGTCTTTACTGAATGAATAGCTCCCAAGCGCAGTGCCACGTTTGCGGACGTGGCCCATATCTGCTCAGCAATCTTTATTCTCATCTTCGTTTCGTCCATAATTGCCCCGAGGATGAAGTTCAGCAAGTTAGAGCAGCCATCAAAAGGGCGAAATTCCGCGTGAACGACCGTTATAAATGCCAAATCTGCGGAAAGACCTATTTTTCTGATGGAGGCCTTCGAAAACACCGAAGAGTGGGTAAATCTTTCTGCTGAAGTTGTGCTTCTTTGCATTATTTTAGCTTTTAAGCTTTTCAGAAGGTTCATGGTGAGCAGGAAGAGAATGAGAATGGTACTGTTGAAAAGAATCAAGCAAGAGTTGCTGCGGTTTCGTGTCCACTATGCAGGGAAACATTTTCGAGCAGCTTGGGGCTGGCACTCCATTGCCAGGAGAAGCACGGTGACAGTCATCTGGACTTTACTGTAATAGATGTGCAATTCGATAACTGGAAAAGCTTCGAGGTATGTGTTTCTAATGAAGTTGTATTTTGTTCTCCTTGCAACTTTATGCAATTTTCTTTACAGTTTTGTTTCTTCTGCTTATTCCAATCAAAAGCTATCAGGTCGAAGAAAGTTCGTTCGTACATTTAAATGTAACTTCTTTCTGTCGCGTTGTATCGCAGTGCGAAATTGCTACTAGAAAGAGTAAAGTATGAACTTTCTAGTGACACCTTGTTTGCTCTTTGTTAAGCTCTTGTTGCAGAGAAAGTGGAAGACAAT